GGATCAATATTGTATACCGGGGGTCCACTGTACTTGGAACATCTGCCACATTGCTCCCCTATCCACTCTATAATATGCCTTTTCTAAATCCATAAATGGAATGAAAACTTCCCTACCCTTATCTAAACACTGTTCACATAAATGCTTCAATGTAAACACTTGATCTACACATCCCCAACCCACTCTAAAACCTCCTTGCTCATCCGCAACCCTACTCTCTGTCTTACCTCTAATTCTTTCAATAATAACCCTACCATACACTTCCTGGTATACTCAGTAAACTTATTCCCTTATAATTTTTAGTCTCTTTTGTCCCCCTTCCCCTTATATAGAGGAACTATACATGTGTGAGTGTGGTGAAAGTGTTGAATGATGATGAAAGTATTTTCTTTTTGGGGATTTTCTTTCTTTTTTGGGTCACCCTGCCTCAGTGGGAGACGACCGACTTGTTGAAAAAAAAAAAAATACATGCTCTCTGCCAATATCTAGGTACCTTCCCCTCTTTCATACATTTATTAAACAAAAATGCCTACCACTCCAACACTGTATCCTCCCCCCTGCTTTGAACATTTCAGTCATGATCCCATCAGTTCCAGCTGCTTTACCCCCTTTCATTCTACGTAATGCCTCACACACCTCCCCCACACTCACATCCTGCTCTTCTTCACTCCTAAAAGATGTGATGAATGGTTTTGAAAACCGACAAGTTGAAGAATTGAGACACTTATGCAACACATGGGAATCTTTATTGAAGAAACGTTTCGCCACACAGTGGCTTCATCAGTCCAATACAAAGTAGAAATGGGTAAGGAGAGTAGAAGTATGAGGTAATCAGTCCCTCAACCTGGATTCGATGTGTTCAGTCCATCACTCTTGTAGTAAGTGCAGCATAGGGCCAGAGAGGTGGCTTATATACTGCGGTGAGATGAGTTGAAGCAGGAGGAGGCGGGATCTTAGTGGGACCTGCCACTAATGTAAGTAGGTCATCGTCCAAAGGTTTGGGCAAGCGTTGAAGTCTTTGTACCAAGATTCCATGATGTTGCAGTGTCTGACAGATGTGATGAATGGTTTTGAAAACCGACAAGTTGAAGAATTGAGACACTTATGCAACACATGGGAATCTTTATTGAAGAAACGTTTCGCCACACAGTGGCTTCATCGTCCAATACAAAGTAGAAATGGGTAAGGAGAGTAGAAGTATGAGGTAATCAGTCCCCTCAACCTGGATTCGATGTGTTCAGTCCATCACTCTTGTAGTAAGTGCAGCATAGGGCCAGAGAGGTGGCTTATATACTGCGGTGAGATGAGTTGCATAAGTGTCTAAATTCTTCAACTTGTCGGTTTTCAAAACCATTCATCACATCTGTCAGACACTGCAACATCATGGAATCTTGGTACAAAGACTTTCAACGCTTGCCCAAACCTTTGGACGATGACCTACTTACATTAGTGGCAGGTCCCACTAAGATCCCGCCTCCTCCTGCTTCAACTCATCTCACCGCAGTATATAAGCCACCTCTCTGGCCCTATGCTGCACTTACTACAAGAGTGATGGACTGAACACATCGAATCCAGGTTGAGGGACTGATTACCTCATACTTCTACTCTCCTTACCCATTTCTACTTTGTATTGGACTGATGAAGCCACTGTGTGGTGAAACATTCCCATGTGTTGCATAAGTGTCTCAACACTCCTAAAAGATGTTATACCTCCCTGGCCAGTGCACGAAATTACTGCCTCCCTTACTTCAGCGTCATTTAAAAGTTCCTCAAAATATTCCTGCCATCTACCCAATACCTCCAGCTCCCCATCTACTAACTCCCCTACTCTGTTTTTAACTGATAAAGCCATTCGTTCCCTAGCTTTTCTTAACTTGTTTATCTCGCTCCAAAAATTTTCTTATTTTCATCAAAATTTCTTGACAGTGCCTCTCCCACTCTATCATCTGCTCTCCTTTTGCACTCTCTCACCACTCTCTTCACCTTTCTTTTACTCTCCATATACAGTGGACTCTCGCATTCTGTTGGCATCACATAACGTTAAATCCGCATACCGATACATTTTATCACTAAAATTTTGCCTCGCATACCGCTAAAAAACTCGCTCAATGCTATTCGTCCGAGATGCTTCTAATGTGCGGCCTGAGCCAGCTTCACATGTTCTGCCGGTGGCATTGTTTACAAGCCAGCCTTCACGGTAACATCCAAGCATACAATCGGAACATTTCGTATTATTACAGCGTGTTTGGTGATTTCATCTGCAAAATAAGTGACCATGGGCCCCAGCTGTTGCTGGATCAGTCAGCTGTTGCTGGATCAGTCAGCTGTTGCTGGACCAGTCAGCTGTTGCTGGATCAGTCAACTGTTGCTGGACCAGTCAGCTGTTGCTGGATCAGTCAGCTGTTGCTGGATCAGTCAGCTGTTGCTGGATCAGTCAGCTGTTGCTGGACCAGTCAGCTGTTGCTGGACCAGTCAGCTGTTGCTGGATCAGTCAGCTGTTGCTGGATCAGTCACCTGTTGCTGGATCAGTCAGCTGTTGCTGGATCAGTCACCTGTTGCTGGACCAGTCACCTTTGCTGGACCAGTCAGCTGTTGCTGGATCAGTCAGCTGTTGCTGGATCAGTCAGCTGTTGCTGGATCAGTCAGCTGTTGCTGGATCAGTCAGCTGTTGCTGGACCAGTCAGCTGTTGCTGGATCAGTCAGCTGTTGCTGGATCAGTCAGCTGTTGCTGGATCAGTCAGCTGTTGCTGAATCAGTCAGCTGTTGCTGGATCAGTCAGCTGCTGCTGCACCACGGTCAGCTGCTGTTGCACCATCAGCTGTTTCTGAACATGACTCGTCCCAAACCTGTCGGTTCAGCCTGAGCGCCTGCCTTGCCGTCATTGTTTACAAGCCAGGGTGGCCGGTTGCATGCATACATTCGATACATTTTGTATTATTCCATTATTTATAGTGCTTGTAACTGCTAAATAAGCCACCATAGGCCCAAAGAAAGCTTCTAGTGCCAACCCTGTGGTAAAAAGGGTGATAAATACTATCGTACCACAGTCAGCTGCTGCTGCACCACGGTCAGCTGATAAATTGGACCAGTCAGCTGTTGCTGCACCATGGTCAGCTGTTGCTGCACCACAGCTGCTGCTGCACCATGGTCAGCTGCACCACAGCTGTTGTTGTTGCTGCACCACCATCAGCTGTATTACTCGAAGATGTGGAGAGAGTGTTGTTGGTGTGGCTTAACGTGAAACAATTACCGAGAAACGATTAACCCCGGAGGGTTAGCCACCCAGGATAACCCAAGTCAGTCAGTGCATCATCGAGGACTCTCTAACTTATTTCCATTGGGGTCCTTAATCTTGTCTCCCAGGATGCAACCCACACCAGTCGACTAACACCCAGGTGAACAGGGAAAAACGCCTGGAACTAGTGCTCATATTGGTGAATTTAAAGCCAGCAAAGGTTGGTTTGAGAGATTTAAGAATCATAGTGGCATACACAGTGTGATAAGGCCTGTTCTGGAAGAAAATGCCAAACAGGACCTACAGTACTCAGGAGGAAAAGGCACTCCCAGGACACACTGTCTCATCAGTCATTGCTGCATCTTCAATAAAGGTAAGTGTCATTTATTTTTCATTTAGTAGAGTAGTACATGCACAATATATACTGTGCATGTACTACTCTACTATTGTGCATGTATCCTTCTCTTTGTGTGTAGGAAAATGTATATTTCGTGTGGTAAAATTTTTTTTTTTCATACTTTTGGGTGTCTTGCACGGATTAATTTGATTTCCATTATTTCTTATGGGGAAAATTAATTCGCATAACGATAATTTCGCATAACAATGAGCGTTCATGAACGGATTAATATCGTTATGCGGGGGTCCACTGTAATCTGCTCTTCTTTCATCACTTCTTCTTTGTAAAAACCTCTTATAAGTTACCTTTTTCTCTTATATCACACCCTTTACTTTATCATTCCACCAATCACTCCTCTTTCCTCCTACACCCACACTCCTATAGCCACAAACTTTTGCCCCACATTCTAATACTGCATTTTTAAAACTATTCCAACCCTCTTCAACCCCCCCATCACTACTCATATTTGCACTAGCCCACCTTTCTGCCAATAGTTGCTTAAATCTCACCCTAACTTCCTCCTCCCTTAGTTTATACACTTTCACCTCTCTTACTTGCTGTTGCCATTTTCCTCTTGTCCCATCTATCTCTTACTCTGTAGCTACAACTAAATAATGATCTGATATATCAGTTGTTCCTCGATAAACATGTACATCCTGGAGCCTGCCCATCAACCTTTTATCCACCAATACATAATCTAACAAACTACTTTCATTTTGTGCTATATCATACCTTGTAGTATACTTATTTATCCTCTTTTTCATAAAATATGTATTATTACAAATCCTCTTTCTACACATAGCTCAGTTAAAGGCTCCCTATTTTCATTTACCCCTGGCACCCCAAATTTACCTACTACAGTACTCCCTCCACAACATTTTTACCCACTTTAGCATTGAAATCCCCAACCACAAGTACTCTCACACTTGGTTCAAAACTCTCCACACATTCACTCAACTTTTCCCAAAAATCTCTCTCTCTCCTCTATACTTCTCTGTTCTCCAGGTACATAAACACTTACCATAACCCACTTTTCACATCCAAGCCTTATTTTACTCTTCATAATCCTTGAATTTTCCTGCCATAACTTATCCTTCAATATTATTATATTATTATTATTATTATTATTATTATTATTATTATTATTATTATTATTATTATTATTATTATTATTACATGTATTATCATCAGCATCTTCATCATCATCATCCTGGAAAGATTGAGTGAATGTGTCTTCTTTGGGTCACCCTGCCTTGGCAGGAGATGGCTGTTGAGTTAATATAAATAATATATTCAGAATTGTGTTTCAACACACATTTTTCATACTCCAGACTCATTAGTGGTTTAAACACATTTTCTTTTTTGCAGCCTCTTGTGTTCATAGTGCCCACATCAGTAATGTTCCTGTACTTCTTAGTAAAGCGTGATAGAACCGAGCTGTGTCAAGGACTTCTTGCACTCTCACTAGCCCTTGGGTTGAATGGGGTCATCACTAATATCATCAAACTCATTGTTGGTACGTTCTAAAATTAATAATTGTTGTGTTTGCAAACTAGCAGATTAACGATATGTAGTACTATAAGAAAATGACAGATTAACAAAAAGTGTTGAAAAGTCAGTCATTTTATTGAACAGGGATTAAATAATGCACTTTTCAAATTAATTGAGGTACTCTACTGTATCTGTTAATTTGGGGATGTTTGATTCTTTTTTTGATTTATTATACTGCATTGCAGTAGTCTGTATATCAGTTTTCATTAAGAATGTACTTCATTTTACCTCTGTTGTTGCTTCAAATATGTACTGTATTTATAACCTTTGATATACCTTTGAAGAGTTTCGAGAGTTTCTCTACTCTCTGAGCCCGGCCATGGACCAGGCTCGTCTGGTGCTTGCCTGGTCAACCAGGCTGTTGCTGCTGGGGGCCCGCTGCCCCACATATCCATTACAGCCTAGTTGATCTGGCACCTGGTGGAGGTACTTGTCCAGTTTCCTCTTGAAGGCTTCTACACTGGTTCCAGCTGTGTTTTGGGATGATATCTTCTGGTAAGATGTTGAAAAGTCTGGAACCCTGGATGTTGATACAGTGTTCCCTTATTGTCCCCACCGCATCTCTGCTCCTCACTGGGTTTATTTTACACTTCCTCCCATATCTCTCATTCCAGTATGTTGTTATGGCAGTGGGCAGATTTGGGACCAGGCCCTCGAGTACTTTCCAGGTATATTATCATGTATCTCTCCTCCATTCCAATGAGTACATGTTCAAGACTTGAATGTGTTCCCAGTAATTTAGGTGTTTTACTGGCTCAGTGTGAACCGTAAACGCTCTCTGTATTTGTTCCAGCTCTGATATTTCTCCTGCTTTGAATGGGGCCGTCAGCACTGAGCAGTATTCTAAGTGAGGGAGCACTAGCAGTTTGAAGAGTGTCACCATCGGCATTATTTCCCTTGTTTTGAAAGTTCTCAATACCCACCCTGTCATCTTCCTGGCTGTTGTGATCTTTGTCTTATTATGGTCTTTAAAAGAAAGGTCAGCTGATATAATTATTCCCAGGTCCTTGACACGTTCCTTTCGTTCTATTTAGTGACCCTCTTGAATTTTGTATATAGTGTTCCTTTTGAGTTCTTCATTCTTTCCATACCTAAGCAGCTGGAACTTATCACCATTGAATGTCATGTTGTTCTCCACTACCCACTGGAAAACCCTGCTTATGTCTTCCTGTAGTTTTTCAGTGTCCTCTACTGTAGTGACTTTCATGCTTATTTTAGTGTCATTTGCAAATGATGATACAAAAGTGTGCCAGGTGTTTTTATCTGTCTGCTATGAGGATGAGAAACAGCAGAGGTGCCAGGACAGTGCCTTGGGGCACTGAGCTTTTGACCTCATTGATGCTGGATCTTGCCCTGTTCACTACTACTTTTTGTGTTCTCTGTGTTAGGAACCCAAAAATCCACCTGCCTATTTTCCCCGTAATGCCCATGGCCCTCATTTTGTGCGCTATCACTCCATGATCGCATTTGTCAAACACCTTTGCAAAATCTCCATAATTCTGTCATAATGATTCAGCAACTGTGACATGCATGATCGTCCTGCTCTAAAGCTATGCTGGTTCGGGTTATGCTGGTTGTGCTGATCCATGAACTTTGTAATCTGCCGTCTCATCACTCTTTTGAAGACTTTTATGATTTGAGAAGTTAGGGCTACTGGTCTGTAATTTTTAGCTAGTGCTCTACTACCTCCCTTATGCAAAGGAGCTATGTCTACACTCTTTAAGGCCTCCAGTATTTCACCTTGATCTAAGCTCTTTCTCCAAAGAATACTGAGGGCTTGTGCTAGTGGTACTTTGCACTTCTTTATAAATAGAGCATCCATAAATCTGGTCCAGGTGCTGAGTGAGTGGGCATGTTTTCCATTTCTTTTTTGAAATCTATGGGATTTGTACTAATGTTAGTTAGCTGGTCTGTGCGGCCTTCTTCTGGAGTGAAAAATGTTTCTGCATTTTCTACCTTGCTGTCATTTAGTGGGTTACTGAACACCAATTCATACTGTTCTTTTAGGATTTCACTTCATTTCCTGTTCATCGTCAGTATACGAATTCCTTCAATAATGATTCAATTCTACAGGTAGTTCTTAGCTTGGATTTTGCATATGAATAGAAATATTTTGGTTTTTCTTGCAGTATCCTGTATGGCCCTTTGTTCCCTTTGTACTTCTTTTGTTAGGTATGACATCCTAAGTTTTTGCTCTAATTCAGTGATCTCTCGGCTAAGACTATCTTACATCTTTTCAGCATATTTGTGCTTTTTAGCAATTCAGTAACCCGTTTTCTTCTTATGTACCATCTCCTATGCTCTCTATATCTGATCTTCGGGGTTTTTCCTCAATGGTATGTGCTTCATAATACTTTGTAGGGTTTCTGTATTCAGCTTCTCTTTAAATATAATATCTATCCATTTTTTCTAAAATGATTCAATTCTTACCCCCATAGGTCGACCTCGACCAGATTTCTTTTATCGTTGCTTTCCGGAAGGACGTGAAGATCTTGATGATGTTACAGACATAGCTTCAGCATGTACCGGGGAGGCTGTAGCAATACAGGAGGGACGCAAGGGGTTTTCCTAGGGGGACATTCGTCTTGTAAGTGTTACCTCAGTCAGAGACGGGTCAATATGCTTGTCCAAATACTGTTCATCTAGTAAACCCTTGATTTAACAGCCCTTTTAATGAGCCAACATCTGAGTTACGAACGAGCTTCCCCGCCGCTTCTCCCTCAATCCACAACCTGCACACCTTGCTTGTTTATCTATGATTTCAGGCCCTTAATTCCATGGACATCATCCTCTTTTGCTTCTCAGCACGTCCTTTTGCACTTACTTTCTTTCTTAGGCCCCAGGGTTAGGAAAAAGAAAATATGGAAAAATAACTGTAAAAATGCAAGCAGAGCATGACAAAAATGCTTCCACAGCGAGGTAAACAGTGCATGAGTTGGCGGCATTCTGAAGCTCTTGTTTTTGTTGCTTTTATTTTTTATTATTTTTTATTTTTATTATTATTTTTTTTATTATTATTATTTTTAAACCCACACTGGCCGATTCCCCCCAAGGCAGGGTGGCCCGAAAAAGGAAAATTTTCCCACCATCATTCACTCCATCACTGTCTTGCCAGAAGGGTGCTTTACACTACAGTTTTTAACTGCAACATTAACACCCTCTTTATTAATTTATTTTTAAATTTTTGGGGAAAACTGGAGTACAGATTTAATTCCCTGGATCAAGAGCCCTCACCTGCATCAAAGAACCTTGACAATGGTTTAGGGGCTCTTGATCTAGGTAATTGAATCTGCGCTCCAGTTCCCTAAATTAATGACTCTGTGGTTTAAGTAGTAGGTTGGTAGACAGCAACCACCCAGGGAGGTACTACCGTTCTGCCAAATGAGTGTAAAATGAAAGCCTGTAAATTTTTTTTAACATGATTGTAGGATTGCTGGTGTCATTTTTTCTCGTAAACATGCAAGTTTTCAGGTATGCCTTGCTGCTTCTACTTACACTTAGGTCACACTAAATATACCTGTACACTTTTATGTATATGTACATACTCATCTGAGTTTTCTTTGATTTTATCTTAATAGTTCCTGTTTGTATTGCTTTTCCTTTTATATCCATGGGGAAGTGGAATAAGAATCTTTCCTCCGTAAGCCATGTGTGTTGAAAAGTCAACTAAATGCTGAACAGTGGGCTGGTAACCCTTTTCCTGTATAGCCCACTAAAAGAAAAAGAAGAAAACCATCAAAGTGGGATGTTTGAATGTGCGTGGATGTTGTGCGAATGATAAAGAGGTGATTGTGGATGTTATGAATGAGAAGAAGCTGGATGTCCTAGCTTTAAGTGAAACAAAGCTGAAGGGGGTGGGGGAGTTTCAGTGGGGATTAGGTCAGGGGTTGCAAAATAGATTGAGCTAAAGAAGGAGTAGCAATAATTTTGAAGGATAAGTTACGGCAGGAAAAGAGGAAATATAAATGTATAAATTTAAGGATTATGTGGAGTAAAATAAGGGTTGGATGTGAAAAGCGGGGTTTAGTAAACCATTTATGCATACAGAGAGGGGAAGTGTAGAAGAGAAAAGAGAGATTTTGGGAAATGTTGAGTGAGTGGGTGGGGAGTTTTAAACCAGGTGTGAGAGTACTTGTGGTTGGGGATTTCAGTGCTAAAGTGGGTAAAAATGTTGTGGAGGGAGTAGTAGGTAAATTTGGGGTGCCAGGGGTAATTGAAAATGGGGAGCCTTTAATTGAGCTAGTTTGTTAGATTATGTATTGGTGGATAAAAAGTTTGTGGGTACGCTTCAGGATGTACTTGTTTATAGAGAGGCAACTGATATATCGGATCATTATTTAGTTGTAGCTACAGTTAGAGTAAGAGATAGATGGGACAAGGAAAATGGCAACAGCAAGTAAGAGAGAGGTGAAAGTGTATAAACTAAGGGAGGAGGAAACTAGGGTGAGTATAAGCAACTATTGGCAGAAAGGTGGGCTAGTGCAAGTCTGAGTAGTGGGGGGGTTGAAGAGGGTTGGAATAGTTTTAAAATTGCAGTATTAGTGTTATTGCTGTTCTTGCTGCTGAACAGTGGTTTAGTGCCGATGAAGGTAGCGTAGGTATCAATAATACGGCCGTGGACTAGGTTGGCTTTAATTGGATAGGAGTGAGTACACAACGGGCAGTGTGAGGGAGTGACCGCAAGCCAGTCCGTGGAGGGGGAGCACTTGTGTCTGTCAAGTCGGTCGGCCTAGGAGTGAGAGCGGCTGGGCTGAGCCTCCCACTGACCTGGGTGAGCCTACAGAGGGCAGCACCTAAATGCCGCGAAATATGAACTAGTCAGAGCAGACAGCTAGGCTGTGTGTTCTGACAGTACAGGCTGTCTACATTTGCTCGGCCACGCACCTCGCATCGTCTCGACGTGACAATACTGGTGGGCCCGTAGGTATAAAGGAATTACGTACACTAGCTACCCCAGAGAGGGACTGGCTTTCGCTCACTAGTAAATCAAAAATGGACATAAAAATGCAACAGGCAAAAAAAAACTCTCCCAACTAGGGGAAGAGAAAACTGGTTTGCCCGCGCTGTTTCATCGAGGAGAGAGTCCGGAGACGTCAGCACTGGAACTAAAATCTATATACAGGTTATCCGCAGGGCTGAACATCAGTTGACCACTCGTCTACGAACGTTGTTGCACCCTCACATCTGCAAACAATGACTGACAGTAGCATTTCCTAAGGTGTGACATGTGACTCAGAGGGCAGCACTGCCCTGACCGTAATACAGGCTCTTTTTTTTTTATATGTATATATAAAAACACTGGGTGCACATACCTACAATAATACTACATCCATGGAATTTATTACACTCTGGGTACCCTTCTAAAAGTATTTACATAATTACATGATGTTGTCCACCCTGACTCCATTATCGACTAGCTATAACAATGTGTGTGGCATTTATACCCATTTCTGCAAGCAAACAATTAGCATAACTAGCGTAGGAGTCGGACAAGTCAGTAGGTACGTCAATGTCACAGAAATGTACTGTTGTCCTGGGTCGCAGGCCTAAGTATGGAGCCTTACTGGGCCGTCTTCCGTACCAGTTAGTAGTGGGAGAAGGGATAGAGGGTTGTCCCTAGCATTAGTCTGATTGTGGCGTTGCAACGCACGCGCCTCCAGCTCTGCTTCAGCCTGCATATGGTCCACATACTTCATGTGATCAAGGTGGGCTTCCTTGATAGTTCCCGTAGCAATCTCCCTCACCTCGAACTTATTGCCACGGAGCTGTCGTAGGACACGGTAAGGACCCACAAACTTTGGGACAAGTTTGTGCATACCTGGGGTCTGCACTGGGTTGAGCAACATAACTTTGCAACCTGGTTCCACTTTGCTTTCCTTGGGTGCGGGCCATTGCGCTCAGACGTGGAACCTATCAGTAGCTTTCATAAGGTTTCTCTCATACCCGCTGGAAGACAAGCTGCGTTGTCCTCATCTTTACTACACTGGGGTTATCAGTATCGTAAGTAGGTCTAGGTGGAGCAAACAGAATTTCATATGGTAAGCGCTTGTCATAGCCATACAAAGCAAAATGAGGTGTCTCACCGATCGAGCTGTTGAGGGAGGATTTAATGTACACTGAACATCTGGGATAGCCTCATCCCATGTAGTACAACTTGGGTTAACGGTTACTCTGAGCACCTCAGGACTTTGCGATTTGTACGTTCAGCAAGACCATTACTCGCAGGGTGGCGTGGAGCTACTGGCGCTTGATGAATGTTGAATCTGGAGCAAAGATCCTGCATTATGCCATTTATAAACTCAGACCCATTGTCTGACAGCAGGACACGTGGGCAAGTATGACGAAGAACAACATGCCACAGAAAGCACTAGCGACCGTTTCGGCGGTTTTATCAGGAATGGGTACTAATTCACTGTACCGTGTCAAGGTATCTACCATTACAAGCAGGTGCTTATTTCCCTTCTCCGAGGTCGAGAAGTTCGTCACAGGTCAACAGAAGTTCTCTCCCAGGGCTCCTTTGTAATGGGATACTTTAGAATGGGGTTAGGACCTGTAATGGTACCCTTGTGCTGTAGGCAAACAACACACTGGTGTACATGCTTGGCAATGTCCGCTGCCATCTTAGGCCAGAATATTTCATTCGTGCCTGTTTGATACTGCGGTCCTTCCCGGGTGTGCGCTACACCTGGGACATTGTGGATCAACCTAAGAGTAGCTGGTATCATGGACTCTGGTATCACCAGTTGGTATATGGTTCTGCCGGGTCCACCAGCTGTGCAACACGGCACAGTACTCCTTGGTTGACCACCAAATCCTTCAGTGGAACGGGAGACTTGACCTGTAAGTCCAACGTCCTCCTTGATCAGGAAACGAAGGACTGGAGACCACACAGGGTCCTGTCGTTGGGCTCTCTCGATGATCCTCAACAGAGAACGAATTGCCGACACTCACGAATGCTATATGCCTCGACAGGGCATCAGCTACAACATTTTGCTTACCTGGGACATAGCAAATTTCAGGGTTGTAGTCATTGAACGTGAGCGACCACGAGCATGCTTTCCCGAGAGGTTCTTATTCGCAACAAAAAGGGCCAATAAGGTAAATGATCTGTGTAAATCTTGATAGGATAATGATAGATGATATCCCGAAAATGACTCAGGGCCCATACAATGGCTAAAGCTTCTAGCTCTGTCACTGAATAATTGACTTCGCTTTAGTAAGGACACGGCTAGCATAGGCATAGGCTGTTGCTTACCATTAGATTCCTGTGACAAGACTGCACCGATGCCAACTTGCTGGCATCAGTCGTCAAGGTAAATGCCTTGGTGAAATCAGGGAATCTAAGGGTTGGGGCTGATGTTAACTTGTTCTTAAGAATGACAAAAGCTCATTCCTGATCACACGTCCACTCAAAAGGGGCATCCTTCTTGAGTAAGCGTGTCAGGGGTGCAGCAATGGTGGAGAAACCTGCGATAAAGGTGCGGTGAGAAACCCGCCAGGCCTATGAAGGACGGACTGCATCCGCCGTCATGGGTTGGGGAATTTCTGCACGGCCGAGATTTTAGACTCGTCCGTCTTTATGCCATT